CTTAATCTGTTTTGGTTAGAGCAACTGGATAGTTTAATTGGATCTGACGTATACAAAAAAATAAAGATGGACTTTTCAAAGTTCTGATTTCATTGTTAATATATAAACATATAAATCCTTTGTACTGTATAGATAAATTGTAGAATTTTATTTCATTAAAAAATAACCAGTTACCACAAGATCTACAGATAACGATGTCATTTAGCCTTCCTATAGTAAAATACAACGTCAAAAATTCCAAAGAAATGCATTTTACGGTCAACTGATCTCATAAACTTATAAACTTCATTCTAAGGTGTAATTCCTCTTGGGTTCAATGAGCTTCCATAATTTCTATGCATATATAGAAGAAATTCCGAATTTCTAAACATGCTTGAAATTTCATGTTAAGAAACCTGGAGAAACACAAAGCTAACATACATTCATCTGACTGTAAGTCTAAAAATCGCAAAATCAGTTATATTTATCTTTGTTGTGGAATCAATTACTTTGTCGTATCAAAATCATTGGTTATGCTTTTTCGATGGCTATAAGAAAATGCTTCAGTTTTAGATGTGCTATTACATGAGATTCAAATTTTGTTTTGGATCAGTAAGACTTTTGCTTGTCGAATGTTAATCTTATTAACAATAAATGAAGTATTAAGATCACCTATCTAGTAATTAAAACTCTAAATAAATGGCATGATTTTAAACTATTTCTAATATTTAAATGGTTTACTAAAATACTAAAATACACAAATTCAAATACTCATTTAGAGTAAATTATAATATGATCCGATTCTAGGTCGTCATAACTTCTGATGTTGCTTTACGAGTTCAATCATTTACATTTTTCTTCAGTTACCTACAACAGAACATACAGTAATGTAACCAGTTATCAGCCATTCAATATCTTAATTCATTTGTTAACTTGTGATGCCTAAGCAGATGTATGACGTTAAATAGATGAACACCACAATGTTTATTTATACTTTGTTCAATAGTGTTTTTCATGTAAAACTTAAGCTTAAAACGATAATCGGTAAATGTTCATGAATAATATCATTTCTTTACTTAATCTAAAAAGAAAATGTTTCACAAAATAATCATATATTTTCATGTTAAAAATCAGTCTTGAATTAACTCCACTAAGGACGGGTCAGTAGTCTAGAGGTTAAGAGTTTTCAAGTGAGGTCAAAGTCCTTAGGTTCGATTCCCATGTGCTGGGTTATAAATGTGCACTGATAAGTAGTCCCATGCCAGGACGAAACAGCTATTTAGTGTTTCTAGATCGATTCGTGATTTCAACAAAATTCAACAATCTCCACAACCCTATACTGATGAAGATAGTATTAGTGTATAATTGTTTAATGAATAAGTGATTCTCAAATCTAGTCTATTACTGAAAAATATCTAAGTTAAAGAATAAAAAAACTAAGACCAATCAACAAGCTGGATTTAATATGATGAATCGCAAAGCACATAAGACAGGTTCACTTGACTTTCCCATACAGGCTTAACCTGTTAATATAAAGTTAAGGATACTCACTGGATATATATATTTTTTCAGTTAGAGCTTTGGAGATTTGTGTTTTTTTTACACATTTGAAATCATCAATCAATCATTGTTAGACCACCAATAGAAACCTGGAAGCAATGGACGGCCGTTTCGTCCTGGTATGGGACTCATCAGCAGCGCGCATCCACGATGGTTAGGCGTTCGCGCACAATACCGAAGGTCCTGGGTTCGAATCCTGAGAGGTGCAGGAGTCGTGGATGCGCGCCGCTGATGAGTCCCATACCAGGACGAAACGGCCGTCCAGTGCTTCCAGGTTTCTAATGGTGGTCTAACAATGATTGAATGATGATTTCAAATATATATATATATATATATATATATATATATATATATATATATATATCACAGGTCATATTTAATTGATAATTTTTAGTAAGTATGAATGTGATGGTCATCATAAATTCATATTAGTCGAACAATTATCTAAAAATTAAAGGATAAAGGAAAACTTATCTGTTTTGAGGTTACAAAACTTAGAATTTAAAAATACATCGTAAGTTTGAGTAGATTGGGATTTGTGTAAATTATCCACCTGATAAGAGTTATTTCAAATAGTAGTAAATAGTTTCAATTTCTTTAAATATAATAACACATAAATCCGACTGTATTAACTTTTGATAAAAGTTAAACATGTTAATAAATAAAAAGTTAATAAATAAAAGTTCGAAGTGTCACATGAATTCCTTGATGTTTAAGAGTTCTCATATTGATTTTAAACGAATTGACTCACTACTAGTGATAATTTCTCTTAAATAATGAATTTTGAACACTGATCACTGAGTTGTAACCATTATCATTCATGTCTACTCTCTACTATTGATTAAAATCTATTGATAAGCGTCAACTAATAAGAAACCTAGATATAGGGTTTTCCAGTGGCTACCTTTAACCAATGAATATCAAACACAGTGCATGCAAGATCAAGCCACTAAAACTAGTGGCTGCATTGTAACTTAACAGATAAAATTTGATGAGCACTAAAGATAGTAAATTTTTCAATTCTGCTGAAAGTTAGTCGTTGTCCAAACAGCTCAATGGTAACGTCTCGAACTGTGGAACCGGATGGTGGAAGTTAGAATCCCTAGAGAGAGCATCAATTACATCCATATGCTCTGAAGCTGAGAGCCAACCAACATTAAATCTATTTCTATAATGTCCTACTGACTATGTTCAATCACTTTGCAAACCAAAAGGTTTCGTCTTTATAATTATGGAATAATCACACAGTACTAGTACTCATTTCCATTAAATCAACGACCAATATTGATTAGTGATATGTAGAGAATCATGAAATTAACAGTAGTAATGATAATTCATTCAATTTTATTGCATACTTAATCATTTAAATAATTTTTTTTTAACAAAATACTTTTTAATTCATTTAGTGTTTTAAAAGTTGAAAAATAAAAATAAAATGTCATGAATTCTTCTAATGCATAGTATCATATCTAATTTACATTTTAGTCATTCATTCATTATAAACCATTTTTTTTCTTCACCTTTCTTTCTTTTACATCATCATCCGAAATTTGTCCGAAATTTATATTTCAACTAAAATTTTGGACATGTGAAATTCATTGATGAGTTGATTTTGAAGTCAAATTTATGTATGCTATGTAAATTTGTTCATCTCTCTTATATATACATATATATATACATGAATTCACGTTTCACTTTAGTTGTATAGTAAACAATAAAAGAAACATAAAAGAAATTCAACATCTTTATCTCTTATTAAATATATTCATGATTGATTCAGTGTAAGGAACTAAGTAACTAATTTTTCCATTGAGGAATTGATATGGAAAATGACAGGTTCTGGAGTAGAGAATGATTTCTATTGTGTCTTTGTTGTTATGGTATAAAATATGAGAACAAATGTTAATGACAAACTAATTGAAGGCGTTATTTTCTTAAGTGACAGAAAATTCATGTTATGTCATTATGTATGATCGTAAATAAAAATAATATGACTCAGTGACTCACTGTCATACGGATTTCTTACACTACTAAACAAGTGGACAAAGTATGTGGAAATATACAAGGCTACTCAGCTTTTCAAATATTCATAAGAAGTTGGTAATTTCTTTGAACTTGTAACCCACTGGTTGAAAAGGAAATACTTAAGCCAACGAGTCATACTTATTGTGTCTGAGATTGGACAAGCTGAAATTACCTTTACCTCATAATATTGGGTGTTTACCGCTAAGTCGAAAGGATTAAAACAAAACTTGGTAAATGAGCATATAGGGAAACTTTTTTAGACAAACTAATTAACCTGCCTAGTATCATCTCATTGTTATAGATTGATCAGCTAGTCAAATTGAAAACTATTGACAAACATTTGAAGAAGAAATAACTAATTGTATATTCCGAAATGCTACAAAAGACTTATAGTCAAAGTAGATGTTTTTATTGGTGTTGTGTTAAGTGAGTTGGATCAAATCTGCTAAACGGAGAAATTTTAAAATAACATTTAACAAAATTGAACTTTTCGTAGATTTCAATTTTGATACTAGAAAATAATGTTTAAACTGTGAAATTTTTATGAAATTCATGTGACTGAGATCAGAAATATTATCATGTTAGTACAACAAGTTTGTCAAAATTATTTGGTTTATAGCTTGCTCTAAGAACAGATTTTAGTTAGAAAAAGCCAAAAACCAGAAAACACTGAATAGTTATTTCGTTCTGCTCAGTAATACAGATCTATAATCTCACCAAGGATCGAAACCAGGACACTTGAACCTGTCAGAGAACCTTTGACTTCTAGATCATAAATTGGGATTTAATGTTTTGCATTTTTAACACTGATCTATTTATTCATAATATCATGCTTCCATCAAAGGTTCCTATTGTTGATACCGGTCTCACTTCTATGATTTAAACTAAAATTCAAAAAATCTCAATACACTTCTTATACTTACAGTAATCACATGCTTTCTAATCACTAACTTGAAGAAACTTATGTAGTTCTTGTGAGAAGTTGTAACTCGTATAGTTCAAATTTGTCGGATAGGAGATCGATTTCACTGATAGTAACAGATGATGATAATGAAATAACATGAACTGACCATTGTTGAAAAATGTAAAACATCGGATCCCAACTTGTGGTCTGGGAGTTTATGATTCTCTAGGAGAATCTAATGTACTGGTCTCGATCCATGGTGAAATCGTAGATGTGCACTATTAAGATGGACAACAGCAACTACTTAGTGCTTTCTAGTTCCTGGTGTATTTTTAGCTAAAGCTAAGTCAGGATATAAACTGAAAATATCATTACCTGTAATTGTATAAATCATAAAATCTTTTATTAAACACTGTCTACTCTTTATATCTATTACTTTGACACAACTCGATGTTTAGATCTAAGTTACAATTTTCAACATGAAACAGACACCATTAAATAAAATAAAACCAGTTCAAAATCTGATACTTACTGAAAGTAGTTATTGTATTAGTTATTGCAGTGGAAATGATATTCGCCAAAGTCATTGTTGGTATTGTTATTGCTACTGTAGAAGTGGAAGATGAAGTAGGACATAATACAGGTAGTGGTGGAATTGAAGACAAAGATTGACATGATGAAAACATAGATATTTCAGATAAAGATGAATGCAGTTGATTAAGTGGATTTGAAATATCATCGTGACTGAAACCTTTCAACCGTTCTAACTCATTTTTAACATTTGTATTTATTTCATAGTCATGAATATTTTGTATACAATTCATACTATTGACTAATAATTCACAGTTAACAGAATTCGACAATGTACTAGGGGATTCTAATTTCAAATCGGTTTTGGCAATATCTTTGACAGATGAATTAGAGTTTGTAAGTATTGACAATAAATCCATTTCCGATGAAGATTTTGTTGTTGTTGTTGTTGTTGTTGTTATATGTGGCATTAATAAACCATTGTTTTCATAATAATGTTCACGACATATTAAAAACTTGTCATTATATAAAAGATAATATTGATCACCTGTGGAGAATTGTTTCTTACAAATTGTACATTGGAAACAATTAATATGGTATACATAATGACGTGCAAATCGAACAAGTTCCCCATTCTGTATAAGCTTGTGACAAGTTGAACATTTAGGACCGAAATTTCTATAAAAAGATCATAAAAAAGATAATTATAATTATTTCACTTCTGCATCATTTTAACATTTTAACAAAACATTAGCAAAGTATCTGAAAAGTTAAAGATTGAAATAGTTTATCAAATGAGTAAAGCAATGTTTATGTCTTACAATGAAAAATTCTTACCACAGTAGAATGTAGCTATCAATACAACGTTTAATCAATCAACCTATTCGATTTCACTAATAACTACTAGGTAGTCTAGTTGCACAAATATCCGAAAAAGGAAAAAAAACTATTATCAAACTGGAAAAACTTTCAAAGTGCTCGTTTTAGGATTCCCAAAAGTAAAATATATACACACTAAAAGGTATAAGTTATGTTCCCATTATAACCAAAACATTTTCACTTGGTTAAGTGTCTTACGTGTTAAATGGATTAATCATTAAAACTGATATGGCTTGGTAAATGCCGTTAATAATCCTAGGACTTACTACGGTAAATGATAAGGAGAGATTACTTCCTTCTCTACTCATCTATTCTTAACCAGTCTAAAGGAAAAAGTCAAATCTTAATCAGATAGTTATCCTATAAGAATATATTTTCAGTGTATTCAAAAATGAAATGATAAAATAAATTAACCAACTAGAACCAAGTCAATGGAGAAAAGTTCCCTCAACAGAGGTAAAAACAGAAAGAACAACATGTACTGATAAGATTTATAATCTAAAGAGAAAAAAAAGATAGTTGAAATGCAATGGTACACTAATCTGTTTTTGATGTGAAACACATTAAATGAATTATCTGAACAAGTGAAATGGTTGTCAACTACCTAAATAACTTTACACTAACTGGTAATAATCACACCCAACTACTTATATCTCACAGTAGTATATATAAAAAATGATCAGTATTTTTTTAAAAATCTTCCACCATATCTATTTTTTTCTGATTTAAGATTTTCAGTCTTCGTGCTTAGACAAAGTTGATGCTTATATTAACATCACGCATAACATGTAGATCACTGATTAACTGGATTGTTGATTTCATGTTGCGATATTTTTACACTGTTAAGTTTCTATTTAACCTCATTTTCGTGTATGCTTATCTATGTTACTGTAAAAGGAGTGTTTGCTTAGTTAAATGAACAATATAACTAGCGGGGAACAAATACCGAGGATGAATTGTTTGTAATTACCAAAAGTCAACTTAAAAGACTGTATTATCCTATCCTTTTAAGAGAGTCCAAAATAATAAAAGGATACTGTATGCATGTGTATAACTTTATCTATTCAAGTTTTAACAATTACTTCATTTTCTCACTAACTCAACTAGTTACTGTATAGTTACAATTAATTGCTTTGCTTCACAGATAACAATTATTCGTACTATATTCTATTTACCCAGCCCCCCCCTCGCAAACAAAAAACAGGTTAATTTCTCAGTTGTTTGATCATAAATTGAACAACTACATTTATTAACTATGGAAAACACTATTGATGAACAGTTTATTTATATCTTAAATTGTTTCTTCAAAAATTCGATTAACTTCTTTCTATCTTAATTTAATTTTTCTGTTTTATTGTGTTTATATGTCTACTCATTTTCTGACTTTCTCTATCGAGGAAAGAATACTGCGCTAATCAAAATACAAACAAATATGCACAAATCTTTAGGTTAGCTGTTAGTAACAGTGATAAATGATAGAATTCATGTGTATTTACATTATACAACGTTCTTTAGTTGTATTATCCTAGCTTCACTAATCCTATGTTTACTTGTCCATGTGTTAACATCGATTTAATTGTAAATTCTTAACTGTAACTTGTATAATCCCAAAACTTGAAAATCCCAATAATTATATAATGTTTAAAACGAAATGTGCACATTATACTACTCATTATCAATTGAATTCACTTGATCTCATGCAAAACATTTTGTATGTTAAACGTATAATAAATTTCAGATTGAGTTTATATGTTTACCGTTAAATATTACCCGGGATCAGATAAATCATAGCAGACCTGTTATTAGACAATGAAAACGATTCTTTTCACATTGAACTTGCTTTTCTTTAAATTTTGTTCAGTAAAATGTCTGATATTCGGTTATATATTGATAAAAATTCACCCAGTAATTTTAATATTTCGATAAAAGAAAATTTCAACTGTGAAAATAGTGCATTCTCTACAAATCCACTATACTAATATCAACCAGGTAATCATTAGCGACTAATTGCAAGACATGCCTCTGGAATTTTAACGAGAAGTAGTAACTAGTGCATTTCAATCCGTATCGAGCTTGAGGTAACCATTGACTGCAGGCAACAGATAAAAAGTTATGCAGTATTGTGTATTGGTTGAAGTTGGACAATAACATCACTTGACATAGGCTTAGTGGCCTGGAGCGCGAGGCCAAAGGTCCTGGATTCAGTTGCTACTTGTGGGGTTGTGGTGGAGCACTGGTGATAAATCTTACACTAGGACGAAACGCCCGTTCAGTGTTTCAGGTTTTCACTAATGGCATAGCTAAGATCAATTTGTGATTTCAACTGTGAAAATATCACTCAATGAAACAATAACTTAATCACTGAACCAATAAATGAGTGGATTAATTAATTTCTTAATAACCAATATATAATTAGTAAGTATTACTTTGTTGCTCTAAATAAGAAGAAAAAATACCGTTTATTAATTTATGCTTAAAGACATTTCGGGTATTGCAGAATCAAGCAATGTTGGCTTGCAGATACTGCGCAAAGGCAAGCTTACAAGAAGATTATTACGACTGAAATGAATACTACGTTTGAACCCAGGCAGTGATATAGGAACCTCTAGGCCGATTATCTAGAAGAATAAAAACTACTTGCATGAATTGCACAGGGATTTAACTATGATGCTTGACTTAGTGTCTTCATCTGGTGGAATTCATCTGAGTTAACAAGGGTATCATCGGAGTTGAATTTTTATGAAGTTATCTGTTTTAGAAAGTTGTTTACTATTGTATTTCTTTACTCTCTTCTAATATTAAATATTAACTGATTTTTAACAACCAGAAAAAATAAAATCCCGTTTCTAACATCAACACTTAAATTTACTAGTAATGTCATGTATATATATACACTGAATGAGTGAGAGGAAAAAAAACAACAGAAAGTTTACAAAACACAACAGTAAACTGTTAAGTTCAAATGTCAAATAGATGTTTATATGGTTTTGTAAATGATTGTTTTTTTTTGTCTTTTAAATTCAGTTAATTTAATTTTCTGGAAAAAAACCAACTTTACAAAATGACAATAAGTTCTTTTTTTTCTCTAAAATGTCTTGAATTACAAAAAATTAGTACCTTTCTAATAAATCTATATAATTCAAACTGAACTAGTTAAATGAAAATAAACTACATCAGTTAGTTTAAAGAATGTATGGAAAAAATATCTATATCTATCTATTGATAAATATAATTTCTGACAGTTTTTTCCGACAATTTTATCAAAGAGATTATTACAAATATGTGATTGTTTGATTCGCCTTGTTATTGATATGAAAGCCTATTTATCTATACTTAAATAACTTGTGATTTAATGGGAATATTAAAATTATCCTTACAAAATAAGGGAATATCAAAAGCGACCAACCAGTTGCATTACCCTAACATCAACAGATTCATGAACTTACGAATGAAAAAATAATCAAATTTATCCTCAAATTAGGGGCTATTTGAACTCAATGGATCAGTGGATAACATGCTGGATATTTAAAATGAACAGTACCAGATTCCAGTCTGAGTGTAAAAATCAACATTAGAGTATGACCGGTATATCCAGCTGTATTACAAATGTAAGCTATCGTATTCCAAATTATTAATTTAAAAGTATGATGGCTGTTCTGAGATCTGAAGATCTCCAATTTATACTTCATATGAAGTAATTTTTCACGCCATCGATAAGTTTTGGTTTTTAGGACAAATTTAACTGATCAACTCTTTAATGTGTTCATTTATTGTCAACTTTATACTTTATATATTTACATATTGCTTTTCGTTTGTTTTTAGTTAGGGAATGTCTTGTGAAAACTAGTTTTCTACACAATTATTCTACATTATCTTATCTATCTTATCCTAAAGTTGTGATAAATATCAATACTTTGGTTTTTTAGATTGTGCTGTTGTTAGCATATAAACAGTATCCTTTCAAAAATCATATGAATTTGCAAATCATGAATCTGAATTATAAACACATTAAATTACTAGTTAGAAATCAATGATTTAACTCCAATATACTAATTCTTATATCTTTCATTGATCATCATGTCTTACAACCTTTTAAACAACAAATGATTCCTTCTAGAAACAAGATTCTTATTCTGCAAACTCAGTCACCTCCTTGTAAATGTGTCCAATATGACATGGATGATAACTAGTAGCAAACCTTATTTCTAGTACACATTAAGATATTGAACTCTGAATTATACGTTTTGTAAGAAGAATAAATGACATTATACAATCGATAAAACTGAACTATGTAGTGTGTGTAGTCTGAGTAAACAACTTGCATAACTATAACAGTCTGACCTTTAAGTGTGAATGAGTAAAGCAATCTGTGAGAAATAAAAATTCTTCCATAATGATATTAAATAATAATTATAAATTAACTACTATAAAACACATTATAAGGCATAAAACTTTAAAAGGTATTTTATTTATTATGTGACCCCTGAGTTGCTGTTTTATGCTCAACTCACGTTAAGAATACCCAGTGTTCAATAGAATAATACAACTTTCTCTTCTCCCTTGATGTTTTTTTTAAAAAAATAATAATTTTCGAATTCACATTAGTTTGTTAATGCAAAAAAAAATATATAATATATAATATATAAAGTGACATTTTCCCGTTTAACATGTGCATGATTCAGTCTATGCAGTTTCCAGTCTCATCATTGAGCTTCATATCTAACAAACATATCAATTTATCATTTCCAAAAATGTGTAGAACTTTTAATGTCTATTTTTTTGTTTACAGTTAATTTGTTTAAAATCAAATTCTTCAATTCAAAACGAGAGTTTATAAATCCACTATCTATAAGTTGTAGCAAATCAATAACATACTAATAACTAGTTTCTAAAATCTCAAGAAAAAAAATACAAGAAACACTTGAATGATAAAACAAATGACTCTAATTCTTTTGAAAATCTATTTAAAATCATATAGAAGAAAGAAAAGCTGTCCATAAACTAACATAAACTAAAAGAAGATATTTAAAAGTATTCTTTAAAAAATTTAAGATTTAATATGAATGAAATGCACACAATGTGATCACAACATTTGAGCATTGATCAAGAATATAAGAAATTCATACAAAAGTTAGTCAATGTACAATAAACAGATGTGTGAGTAAGTATTATTACATCATAATGCAATATTCCTTAAAGAAGTGTACTAAATTTTGTTATGAGACAGAAGATCTGAAAGTTTTTCTTTGAATGAGAAGTTACAAATGCTTACTACAAAGCGGTTTCATTTCTTAGGAGGAAAGACCTGTTCAGCTGTTCCTAATTATGCAGAGTCATTCAGCTAATTATGTCAATCAACTTTAAATACAAAAATAAGTGCAAACCTTTGAAATCTAACTAACTAGTTTAAAATAAGCTGTTACAAGGCATTACTGTTCAATCTACACAGGAAATATCTTGTATTTGTCTACTAGTTACATTCATTTAATCAAATAAAAAGAAATTTATTTTCGTCCTATACGCCTTACTAGATAGCTAATATAATAAATAATTTATTCAATCTCAACTAAAATCACTAGGTATGATACGATCTTTTTAAAAATTGAAATGAAAATCAGGCGACATTCCATAAAAAAATGTTAGCTTGAATATATTTCTGATTTAAAAAAATTTTGGTAACAAACTAGATTTTCTACCGTGATCTATTTAGCATACGTGTAGAAAAAGGATTTAATTTAAATAGTGATTTATTTATTCAAGGTGATACACGGTCATGTTAATAAGTTTTAAGAAATGAATTCATTGAAAACCTTAACAATAAAATCATTTAATTTGTGTAAGCTCTTTCCCTCCCATATTCTTCTCGATCAATTTAAAAAGAAATCAATTTTCTAGGAAGGCAGATTTCAAAATGGATAGTACATACTCTGAGCTGAAACTGAATAGGTTTTATGAAATGGTTTTAATAAATTGTCTAATTTAAAAAAAATAACCTTCTTTAATGTACCCTGACCTCAACTTCAATGATGAAATAGATTGGCACGTATTACCTATAGCGATGAGTTCTTCAAGGGGTTCACTGACTGGCCTATTCATGGTTATCGTGGAAATTACTAGTTTGTAAGCGACAATCAATAAATTGTGTTGCATACGAATGATATATTCACAACAACATATAATGAAGCATCAGTTTTTCAACATTTACTTAAATTTTCCAATAGCTTTCAATTATCAATCAAATTTATAATACGACCAGAATCTGAATCAAAACTGCCTTTTATTGATGTCCTATTTAATGAAAAAGCTAATGGAGTAATATAAAGGCCCCCACATATAGAAAATCTGGGCGGAACGAACAAATGACATATGTTTACAGTGTACATCTAGAAAATGAAATCACATCCATTCATTATACTCATAACTACCAATTAAATGAGCTATCCATGCTTAAAATTGAATTATTACTCACATAGCGTGTCATTATGTCAATCAATAAGCTACACACACACAGGTTTTGTTTTTTTAAAAAAAAGAGGAAAAATTCCTAGAACTAACTTGATAAAATCTTCTCGACAATATAAATGACCATCTTTTGTGTAACATCGTTCCGTGAGCACAAATCCACAATCGAAACACCTTAAACAATTTTGATGCCATGTTTGATCATCTATACTATAATAATATTGATCAAATATATTTGATTGACATTCATTACAACGTAATGGATTAATTTTAATTAAACTGGAATCATTTATATTCTTATTTTGTGTACAGTAAGTTGATAATTTTAAATTATTATTTGGTTTATTTAAATACTGATCAGTGACAATCGATGTGACTGTAGGATTATGAGTTTGATTATTTTTTAAGTGAATATTCATACTTTGATTGAGTTCAATTCGATTTGGACTGGAACAAACAAATTTTGTAGTTGAATATGCTTGCAAATTTGTATCTGATATAAGAACAGTATTAATACTATTCACATTATTATTGTTGTTTGAAGCAGTAGAAGTAGTTGTTGTAGTAGTAGTAGTGGCAGTTGTATCAGTAGTAGGGGTAATTGTATTTATACTACTATTACTACTATTGTTGCTCTCATTAAAACCGTTAGACAATGAATTTTTATTCATAATTCCATTCTGACTGAAATTAGATGTTACCCATGTTTCTGGATTTGCAGTAGTCATTTTTATCACTTAGTGTTCTGTATTAATAGTAGCAATAACAGTATTAATAATGATAGTAATCGTGGTAAAACTGTATAATCTCTGTTTTACAGTTTAATATACAGGAATAAATACAACTGAACTTATTTTTTCAATGTTCCAATAATTGTTATATTGACGATTAACTGTTGAATAATTAGTGCAATTTTCCAAAAAATAGGTGATTGTTTGAAATGTTGAAGCTTGAAAGATCATTGTTTCACTTTTGATAAAATTATTTTGATTCTTAACATTTTACGGTCTTTAAAAATTTCATTGAATATAAACATCCTCCAATAAACACTAAAATTTCGTGACTATCAATGTTTCTAGATTATTTTTACACTCCCCTATCTATCTATCTATCTATCTATCTACTTACTTACTTACCTAACTATTGACTAGTCAAACTTTTCTCTTCTCCATGCGCACCATTTAAAAGCTAGCGAATGAGATAAGAGTTTTTGATTGGCTAAAAAACTTGCTAAATGTTATGCGAAAATCGGATTAGCATAGAAAAATTAGGAGCATAAAAATTTTCAAATTGTCTGTCCCCTTTCATTCATTCTGACTTCTACTAAAAAAAATATGAGACTAGATAGACAAATGAAAATGAAGGCATTGATTTCCTCTATTCTAGTAAAGCAAAAATTTACTAAATAACGAATTTGCAACAACACTGTACAAGATGTAGTTTGTAGCCAATATAACCCTATTGATTATTGGTTAACAAATAATATATGCATACATCACATGACGAGTATGAGTATATAAGAACTGTTTTATGGAAATATAGTCGACGAAGTGAAACTATAAAAATTCATATTTCACTAAAGTAGTTTTATTTTAGATTATGTTTTGATTGTTACAGAGATTTAGTCAAATTACCAATCAATATTTTAATTCCGAGAAATAAAATGAGAACTGCTAGCAAATTAAAACAACTTTACTTACCCTCAAACAGATGAAAACAACCTTGACAATTACTAACTTTGCCTGTGAGCTTTTAAAAAATTTTCATTGAGTAACCCTGAAAATTTTGTTGAATCTAAAAATGAACTTACTATATATTCAACCGTGTTGGGTTTAGGCAGTTACTCACCGAAGACAATGGGTAAGGTTGCGCAACACCTTGGATTGGTCAGAGTTAGACATTAACACCGTTGGATGCCTGCTCACTGGTTTACAGGCTAAGCGTTTGCACGTAAGACCGAAGGTTCTGGTTTCGGTCCCCGTATGCGTAGGTTGTGGAGTCCTATATTAGGACGAAAAGGCCGGCTATTGGTTCCAGGATTCTAATGGTGGTCAAGCAGTTGAGGGATTCATGACTTCAATAGAACATATTAGCCTATAAAATATGGGGTTTGAATTAATCACGTAACTTAGATTGATAAGTACTTATTCTAAGTTCCAATACAAATAATTTTTAATCATATAGAATACTGTGTGATCGGACAGCAAGAGTAAAAATGCTAATACAGGTGGTTTAAAAGATTCCCTAAAAAATCTTTCAAAATCTATATCTAATGAATCATTAACAATCACTTCTTTAGCTACTTCTAGTCTGTATGATGGTCTATAACTCGAGTATTTCAGTCAAACTAATCACACTGAACTGTAAGATTAAATGAAGTATTTATTATTAGTCATTGAATAGAAACTACTTAGTAACACTTGTTTATTTATTTGTGGACAGAAAATGCTTTTACATCATAATATTGACAATTCAGCTTAGAGATAAACTATGATCACTTTAGTGTAGTAAAATATCAATAATGTGACTGAGATTAATGGAATTTCGAAAATTCGCGATGGTTTGATAGTTATACAGAACTGATTGGACTTACTTGATTCATTTTACATTGAAATATAATGTTGGATTCTTGTTAGAAATTGAACACATCATGTAAAAATACGTTGTGCAAATAAATAGACAGACAGACAGATACAATGCAGAACTTCGTACGTAAGTACATCAGTTCAGGTTGCCATACCACATCAGCACTGAGACGCAACTGTCAGTTCAAATCCAAGAGTGATAGAGATATTAGAAGTATTAGCAGTAATGGAGAAGATTAGGGAGCGAAGAAATGGTTCGAGAAGTATAATTCAGTGAGATAAATTTAGAAGGAGAAAGATGGAGATTATGAGAGATTCAGAAGGTTAGAATTAGAGAGAACACAAAGAGTGGATGCACCTGCGCCATTGCAAACGATTCTGAGCCATGTCGTTCAAAGTCTCTAACCATCGGTGACTTTTGTCTCGCAGACCCACAAATAAATAACTGGAATTTAACTGATATCGATCCTCCCAACCATATATCACTGGAATATTATTAGTTTATATCAGCACAATCTTGAGGCGGTTTCCGTCAAGAATTGATATTAGTTGAGAAGATATCTGAGAACAAGATCCCATGCAACATGTTTTCTTGCTCGTTTGAAACTTCTCAGTATGTCCAATCCATCCAATCTAGAGAACGAAACTTCTCCAAAATAATCTGAGATTTCATTTGACAGTGAATTTCGATGAGGTTTCCTATTAAAGCTTATTTTAATGAACTGTTTAGAACGTTTATAACGAAAAAAAAGAGATATTCTATCCATCATTTTATCATTAAATATTAGACTAACAAGTTTAAAATTCGCACAAAACTAGATTGAATAATCTATGTTGTTATTCGCTTCATTGAAATATAAAATGAAGTGACTTTGTAAAAACGGGAATTATCCACAACAAACTTAGGAAATTTCGATCATAAAATTGTGTGAATTTGTACGAATTATGTGTTATAAAAAAGTAGTGAACAATTTCAGTTTCAACTGCAAATGTTGTTTGATCATTTTAGTGAACAAGCATTAAAATGTTTTTTTTAAGAAAAATTTGGATTAATGATTGATTCAAAGTGGTGATCTTAAACATAACGTTCAGGTCCGAATAACTAAATTACTAATGCTTTTGTAATGTATAGGGGTAATTCATGCTCCTTTTGAATCAACCTGTTTGACTGTGTGAATTGTTTGGAACAATTCTAGTGGATCAGAATTAATAAGATGAATTTGTATTTTAACTACTGATTAGTTTGCATTCTACTTTTAAAGTGTTCATGTTGTGCCATTAATATAACTTGCTCTATAAGATCAAGAGAACTAATAAACTCGTAACTATGTTACTTGAAGAAAGAATTTATACTTAACACATTGGCGAATAAAAGACCTCCGGACGAAGACAATATAGAGTTTCTCAGGATAGAAAATTTATCTCAGAGTCTTCAAAATTCAATTTTTTTAGGATTTTTGCAGAAGTATCCTTTTTAAATTTAATAGTCATGGTAAAAGCGTTTTCTTTTGAACTGTTAGTGACCTTTCAAGTATTGATTTCAGTTATGTTTCTGTCAGTGAACGTTGGTGGATAAGCATTTCGAAAAAGTATTTGCTTGAGTTAGATAGATTGGTCACCTATTGAGCCATTGAAGTGTATTTGTCTGGGTATTAAGAATAAATAGTGAGTGGTTTCCATTTCTGCTCGATATTTTGAGTTTTTTTTTCAGTGACACAAAGGGGTTCCTCTCATCATTCCTTAAAAAGGAATAATCGTATTCATCTAGCATTATAGACGCCTTTCCATACAGCGAAAAAAATATAAAAAATATATTTATCAGTACGAGTGAATCGTGAGGCTCCTAGAGTTACGTATGAAAACTAAATCAATGACTTGCGGTTTACTTCTGAAAGTACGGATATAAAAGAACAACCTACTAAAATAAGGCCTTTATGCATAAAGTACCTTATAAAAAATTAATATTATTAAAAAATTTATGTAATTGTAAAATAAATGCTTTTTCTAATTCACTTACTAGTCAATGATAATAAAATTTAACAGAGAAATTTACTTCTTGTTTGTAACATGTTTACCATATATAATAAAATGATCTGATTTTATTAGTGAATTGTTATTATCTAAATTAAGTTGATAAAAATAATTTCTTTAGTCTATATTATATCCCTTTATAGTGTTTCATAAAAGTAGAATATTTCGTAGGTGTCATCTGAATTGCTTTATAATAAACATTCCTGTCTTAGACTTTATGAAAAGTTCAAAAACTTTCATACATTTAGTAAAGTAATCAAGATTCACTGTCAACTTCAATAAACTACTTTGTAATATCCAGTTTCTAATTTAACTCTATTCCTAAGAAAAAGACCAACAGATCAGTATTTCATGTAGAAATTCTGCTATCAAACTGTTATGTGATTGTTTATGTATATACGTAGCTGACATTGTTTTGCTTATGGGATTCTCATTTAATTTTCACTCAAGTCATAAATTACTGGTCAATACTAGCAAATATAGTGTATGTTCAATTGTACCTATGATCGCTCCAATTGATTTATATTTCATACACAATAATAAATGACTGGAAACTATTCATACCAATCACTCGCGCTGATTGATCGAGTTAATGGTTTATAATTGGATCCCTAATGAATTTTTCTTTTCTTGCTCTACTGACCAGTCTCTAATAATCGAACATCCGCTACATGTTCACAAGGGAATAAGAATTGTTCATTTTACTAAACGATCTACCACAGAGACTAAATGAAAAGACTTACTTTTGGTGATCTAAGCATAGAAGATTTGGGTAGCCTTAATAATTCAGTACTTTCTAAATCCGTTTATCAACTGAGTTCCTATTAACTAAAGCTAAATACCGTATCATCTTAAATTTAAACCCCAGGTATATTTCATGCACCTGTCATTCATGAACTAACTAGTTGTACTGAGCAACAGTTGGATATTGTCTAAATGGAGATTCATTTAAACCAACTTGACTTATCCTTTAAAACTAAGTTTGTCTACAAGCAGTCAGACAATGAAAATATGATTACTTTTTAGCATGAACATAATATGTATGTGTGTTTAACTTTCATTCTTTAACGATCAACTAATTAGTTATGGCATTCCATTGACAGTCCTAGTTT